TGTTCGTGCTTCCCTGCACAGCTGGGATGACAGACGTGCCACCACACACAAGCACTGGTTGAGATGAGGTCTCGCTAATGTTTTGCACGGTTGATCTTGATCTCCTCCTCCCAAGTAGGCAGGATTACATGAGTGAGCCACCACTCCAGGCCTGCTTTTTATTTTTAGAAAAGGATACTTCCTAGTATGATAAGTAAGAACTACCAGCTGACCTGAAGCTGACACACCAGGGACGTTGCCACAAGAGTCAGGAAGAAATAGAGCAGTCATGCCATTACTATTTGCCACGTCTGCATCTGTGACATGAAAATAAAAAGACGACACGACTACTACATGGAAGGAGAGTAAAAAGAAAAACATAAAACCAACTGAAGACACTGAATACAGCAGACTAGTGAAAATGTTAGTGTTTTTGCTGGCTGGAAGACTCGCCCCAGGTGAAAATAGTTACATGGACATACGTCTAAAAGAAATCCCTGAGGAAGTGAACTTAAAGTGTATCAAAAGTCCTACAAAGTCCTAAGAGCCACATGCTGTTGACATTCTCCTTGCAATAAATTCAGTCAAATTTGCTGGTAAAACCTCCAAAAGTTTCCCAATCGTAGATTACCCTCTCGGGTAAGGATTCTCTCCTGTCCCCTTCCTCTCACATGCACACGCACACCCACACATGTGCACACCCTCTGATACACACATGCTCACCCGCCATGTGCACATCCAGAGACACACATGCTTACACATGCACGCTTGCACATACACACGCACACCCAAACACACATGCACGTTCACACAGGCACACACCTACACACGCATACACATACAAACACACACCTGTGTACGCACACACGCTTCATTTGATGCACACTGCTTACTCACACGATTTCCTACTGGCCTAGCAACCACCAGGCAGCACTAAAATGCATTCAGCAAAAGGCTAACCCATGGTTGTTCCCCTCGTGTCATGAGAAGAGAGCTGTTCCGTTTCCTCTCAATACGGCCCTCAACTTCAACGTTTGGCCATATGCAAGTGATCTGAGAGTGTATCAAAAGCCACAGGTCTGGAATCCTAATTCAATTTCCCTTATGTTTCAACAGGAGCTTCAGCAAGCATTTCTTTTTAGAGGCAATTTCAGTCAGAACCAAACAAAAGGCCATTGTGTGCTAAACAGAACACGGTCTCTCTGGACCCATCTACACCAACGCTACAAACATCAGTTTAGAATTAGGTTATTTTAGACTTTAAATCAACTATTTCAGCCCACAAATCTATTCCATACTTATCAGAACACGTAAGTTCTCTAAGTGAGTTACAGCTGAGTTCAAATGTGAAATCTGCATTTTTCAAGTGTCAATAAGAGACCTTTCCCTCAAGCTGACTCCACACCACCCAGTAGTCATCCAGGGCTCCACAGAATGCTTTCATTTCCTTTTCCAAAAGAAGTTTTCTCATCTGCATGGGTGCATTTACTGAGCATATTGTTTCTGATGAAAATCATATGTTGTCAGCCATGTTACCTTCTATTATTTTCTCATCAAACAAAAGTCACGACTTTCTAAGTTGTCAAAGTAAAAAAGAGTTCCCAGTCTTGCAGCTATCACCATGAGCACCCCTGTCCAATGGTGGACCTGCAGAAACAATCCACAATGAGCAGTGTGGCTGTTTAAAACGCAACCACAAATCCTTTCACATGCCTCCCATCAAGATGGAGTCGGCTCCCTCCCTTGAACACTGGCCAGTCCTAGCAACTCACTTCTGGCATGTGCAGAAGTGAAGTTGGAGGCTTGGGGGCTGGGTCACAGAAGGTAAGTAGCTCCTCTTGGCTCTCCCTACATGGATGCTCTCCTATAAAACCCAGCCTCTGTGCTGCCAGGGAGCCATGTAGCCACACGAGGCGGCTCAGTTCCCCTCCCAGCCAAGGAGCAGAGTCAAGCTCCAGCCCGTGAGCAAAAGGCCCTGCATCCACCTCCGGGTGAGGAACTCCTTCAGTAGACACCACTGGAGCAGAGACAAACTGTTACTACCACACAACGCTCAGAAGGAGATGTATAAAAAAATAAGTCATCATTATTTTTAGCCTCTGGGCTTTGAAGGGAACATGTATATTATTTCAGCCAAATTCAACTACCTTATCTTTTTCCATGTCAAATTTACCTGAGAGGTTAAAGCTGTTTTACACAAACCAATAAACGCAAGTATGCTAACATACCTGGTCTCAGTCAACTCATCCCGCAATCTGATAGCTGGAACCCCAGCCCTCACCATCCTCGGCTGCCTGTGAGTTTGAGTGTTGTCTTGGGCCCCCAGCTTCTCATCCCTTCACAGCAGACTCCCTGCCACCTCTTCACCTTTGAAACGATCAGCAAAGCTTAGGAAGCTGTCGTTACTGTCACCATGCTCCACAGTTTTAAGCAGCGAGCAATGAAATTCACCTAAAAGTTATTCTATAACTTTGAGGCTTGGAACTAGCTCAAGATGCTCTGGGAGTCACTCAAATGAGTTATCAGCCCAACTCAGCCACCATATGCAACAGTTCCTTCTCTTGAACACCAGGAGGGAAATACCCAAACTGCTGAAAAGGGTTTTTCTTTAAGAAACCCAAGTCTGAAAAGTTAAAACCTAGATGGGACCTTGGAGACAGTCTGGTTTAGGATTTCCTTCAGCCATGAGACACAAATGCTAAGAATCTTCACTTTGGTCCATGTGCCTTTGGCTGCGAGCTCTGCCATGATACAGAGGCAACTCTGCAGCTCAGCTGTGTTAGTATTTCCAGACACAGCTATCAAATGTTCTCTATGCAAGCCCCTAATGCCTAGGATAAGTAATAAACAGATCAGTGATAACAAATACAATAAAAGAATCCCTGAAAACCCATGAATTGTCTTAGAGAAAAAAATTTAAAGTGGCCACAATATTTCCACAGTAAGAAGTGGTAGCCATCACAACCCTAGTCTGACAAGGTTACACAATTGACCTGAGGCCACAGCCAGGCCACCACCAGAACTGTGGTATACTCATGCTTTACAGTCATGGAGGAGGCTCAGTTAAGATTTGGATTCATATGAGGAAAACAATCACTGAATGCCTCAGCTCAAAAGGCAGATCAAAGTGGCTGGGGTGGCTCTAAGTCCTTCAGTGTTCTGCTCAGTCCTACTGGACTATCTTTCTCCTTAACGTGAAGAAACAGAAAATCAGCACAGGTGCCTCAGGCACTGCTGGGGACAGTAAGGGAAGGTAGTGATAGCTTGACTGGCTACAGGACAGCCACTCACAAACCCAAACCCATTGCAATATCCCTTGCCTTAATGACAGAGGCAGCAAGGCCACTCAGGCCTGGACCTCCCTTGCAACCAAGGGTGTCCATGAGACAAAAATCACAAAAACAGGAAGACATACAGCAGTCACTAGAGAGAGATTTCTTTCCAAATGAAAACACTACTCCTGTGAGAAGACCACGCCCCATGTCTTCTCCCTGTGAGGAATGTGGACGTGATTCTTGGGTACTGGAGCCACCTTGGTTGCCATAGGGACAAAAGTCTCATGCTCAAATTTACAAAACAGGCAGCAAAAGACCTGGCTCTTCAATGCTGGAGGAAAGCCATGGCAGAGGCCCCGCACTATTTTGTAAATAGCAGCTCATTTTGTACTTACCTGCAGCTATACACAACTTAACTCCTATAGGAAATAAATCTGCCTCCCGACTCAAGTCTTTGTCCCAAAGCAATGTGTCCACTGGGCTTACTCTCAAGATGGGGAAACTGAAAAACAAATGTCTAGTTACCTCTACCCCAGCTCCACCACAGCCCAACATTTTTTGAAGTAAGAGTGAGGTATATGCCTGTTGCCTCCAAGAGAGGAGCAGTTTTAGCTTGCAGTGATTCTTTCTCCAGCAGATGGCAGAGCCGTGGCTGCCTTGAGAAGCAGATGAGAAGGAAATGGCTTTTATCCTTACTGCACAGGATCTAGAGAACCAGCAATTGCTGGAAGAAAACTGGAAATGAATGTGTGCTGCGTTCTGATAACATCACTGGGGAAGAACGCAGACACAGCCATATTGGAGGAGGTGTTGCAGCTTCTTTTCTTTCATCACTGCCACATCACACTGTATGTCAGCAGCATAGCAGCCCCAGGAGGACTTGTGCAGGGACACGGGTGTTCTCCACTTTCCTGTAATGTCCTTTTAGATAAAGTCAGCTTTGGCAGTTCAAAAAGTTATATCTACTTGTTAAAAGCTCAGTGGTGTTTTCCAAAGGGGTAACACTGAGAAGAAGCTAGGAATTCTACTCATGTTGTACCAAATGTTTTAAATGAACTTCAAAATAAAGAAAAGAAAGTAGCACCTCCTCAGGACAGTAGCAAAACGCTTAGGGAACATTCTTCAAGAACTTCTTCATGAAGTTCACAAGACCCAGGCAAACCAGCAGGTAGAATATTCTAGACCAATAGCCTAGACCTTTTCTCTAAAACTTAAGAGAATTCCCAGACCAAGTCAGCACTGAATGAACAGCTTTACAGCTGCCAATGACCATGAGGGCTCAGACTCCAAGCACGCAGTAGGGGTGGCACTTTCCCCAGCACAAGACAAGAGCGATCCCTTAACCTGAGTCTTTTAGGTTGCACCAAGCACCTCAGATAGCGAATTCTGCACAGGAGGGAGGAGCAGAAAGCACTAGGAGAAAAGGAGCAACATTTACAGTAAAATTCACTGATAGCTGATATTCAACTGCTGTTAGCGAAGATGTAACTTGGATGATTAAAAACACTGGGGAAAAAAGCAATGAGTTTCAACAGACTTTTCATCAGAGTAGTTTCCAAAAACTTGGGTGTCACAAGTGTAGACTGCTGACTTTATGTGCAGGAATCCCCCTTTCGATCCCAAATAAATGGAGCACGTGTGAAATAGAGCTGCCCTAACTCACACAAGCAACTGGCTCCCATGCTGATTATTCAGACACGCTCTTTAAACAGCTCGTTTCGAGGCACATCAGGCAGTGTCACCAACCTAGCACATTTCCGGGAGGCACCTCCTCCAGCTCCTCCAGCTCCCTTCCCATCAGGAGGTACAGGCTTTCCAGCGAGCAGCACGCCATGTGAGGTACAGGGGGGAGGTCATCCAGCGGAGCTGAGAAGCCTAACGGCACCTGGGCGAGTTAGGAAAAATGATGGATGGAAGACAGGTTAGGAAGCATTTGAAATCCTTCATCAGTAACTACAAAGTTACTTTACTCATCAATAAGACACAGTGTAACCACCTTTAATGTAAACCAGAAACATGCAAATCTGAAATGGTAAAATAAAACAAGTCTCACTTTGGGAATAAAATTTGAAATGCTAAAAACTTTTCAAATATAAAAAACTGTCACAAATTTTAAGGCTAAGAGACAAATTCTGTTGTGACCCAGTCACACCACTTTTGCTGGTCCCCCAAGCCCACTGCTAGTCTCTACGTGAACCCGTCATGCTCCAGTTGGTGGCTACTGTGCCGTCTATTTTAATTTTAAAATTGTTCCAATTGTATGACAATGTTCTTTAAGCACTGAAGAAAGGCTGGCAGCCCAGAAACGCATGAAAATAACTTAACAAAAATGCTGCCGTGAAAAAAGCCAAATATCTGCTGTTTGCTATGTTGTTAATCCAAAAGAGAGTATGATGCTCCTAGTATGGCAGACGTATGACGCCACATCACGTTCAATCATAGGAGATACCATCCTGAATGAGTCACGGTTTGAGTTATGTGAAATTTTCAGAAATAAAGCCTCCCCATGAATGCAAGTACCCAGAAAGTATTTCAACCCATCAACCAGCATATCCCTGTATCCAAAGCCCAGGTGCTGTGCTCATACTAGAGAACAAATGTCCCATGGGGTTAACAGCACAAGCACAGAAAACACATCATACACAAAGACAACTCACATCACAAGTACAGTAACTGCCCTCAGCACCACACACAGAGACAGCTAACAGCACGGGCGAGAGCAACTGCCAAAAATGCACTAGAGTCAAATTAGTTCGTGAAGGCTCAGAGGAAGGAGTCTCCCATTAAGGAGACTGGAAACCTGTGGGAAAAAAATGATTCCAGTATATCACACAACTAAACGTGCATGCTCCCATTCAATCACAGCTCTGCAAGGAGCTCTAAAGACCACTTGGAAGGAAATCAAAAAGAAAAATGTGCAGCGAAATAACTGTCCACAGACAATATGAACACACATGGACAAACTCTTAGGAGAGCACCAGAATATAAGATAGCCAGGGAGAAATCTAACAAAATGACTAAACATGTTTATGCAAGGACTGTAAAACTTCACTGAAACACAGTAAAATCACCAAAACCAGAACAGCCTAACACATTCATGGATTGAAGCTTTGACTCATGACAAGTGCATGGACAGATTTAGAGAAATTCCAAAGTCTCACAGGGCTTTTCATGGAACCTGACTGTGAACTTCACACAAAGGGCAAAGAACCAGCAGCAAACAAGGTGCTGTGTCTTGGCCTTTCAGATGTCAAAACACATAGAAATGAAAACAACGGTGAACAGAGACAGTGACAGACAAGCAAAAGACATAAAATGAAGAGGAAGTATTAACAGTTCCTCCACAGACCCATCAGATATCAGACATGGGCAGCGTGACTTATGACAGAGGTGACAGCAGATCAGTGGACAAAGATGGACATTCACTTGTGTGTGGAAAAAATGAAATTGGGTCTCCATGTACAAATGCTAGATTAGACATTCACATATGAAACTTCAGAAGGAAAACGGGAGAAAATTTTGTGGTTTCATTATTAGTCTTAATTTACCTTTCATAAGCTACAAAACAGCAAAGCCCATAAAGGAAGAAACTAATGAGTTCAACTACCTTGAAATTAAGAATTTCTACCCATTATAAGATACCAAAGAAAGCCCCAAACCGAAGAAATCTACAAGACTTCAAACTGACAAGATACTCCTAGGCAGAATATATGAAGGACATCTGAAAAGAAGGATTTTTTTTTTTTTTAAAGCAGCACAGTAGAAAAAGAGGGAAGTGGTCCAAAGAGATGGCTTCCTGAGAGAAAATGTGACCGACCAGAACATGGTAAGATTCCATGCATACAACACTCAAAACAGGCAAATGTGAGAACATACTCTTTAGAGATGTGTACGCAGATTACAAAACCACAAAGACAAGCAGATGAAGAGAAGGGCTGGCAGAGAGACTACAGGTGCCTCCCTTGACCCTGCTGCCTGGTGCCATGTCTTCTGTGACCTCCCTTGAGGTTCTCAGGTCTCTGTGCCTTGCTTCTCACCAGGGGAATGCAGCAAAGGGGATGGAATGTTGGTTCCTGACTGTGACATCACACAAGACTGTCTTTGGGACACTCGTTCTAGAGTCCTTTTGCTTTATCAAATAAGCCTGCGAGTTGGGACAGTGCTCATGGCAAGAAACTGTAGTGGCCCCCAGGAACAAGGGACAGACAGCAGTCAGAATGAATCTGGGCCTTTACCTCTATGGGTGCTGAGATATGTATTCTGCTGACCACCTCCAGCTTGTGGAAGCAGTCTTCCCCAGTCAGCCCTGAGGATGAGGAAGGAGCCTGGTGACTCTGCCCACAGCTCTGTGAGAACCTGAGCTAAGCCACACACAGATGACTCATGAAAACCGAGAGCAGGAAGTGGGTCTTGTTCCAACCTGCTAAATGTGCTGTCATCTGTAACACACAGCAACAGAAGAACACAGGAAAGACATGCATGAAATCTGGAGGGCTTACTTCTGGGTGAGGAGTGGAATATTCCACACTTCTTTTAAATGGATTAGAATTGGATTTGGGGGTTCTGATTTTGAAACAGGAATCATTCGTGCTGTCACTGCATGTGGCCATTCTGGCTCAGGTTGCTGACTGCAACCTGTGCTCCCAAGGACACACATAGACCGCGTTAGAGCTCACAGAACACCCACTGAATGATTTCTTACCCACCTGGAAAGCTTAGGAATTAAAGAAAGGAAAAAAAAAAAACCCTCAACAGACACTTGACCCTCACTGAGAAACAACAAATCATCAATTATGTGCAGGCCACAATGCTAAAGACAATCACAAATGGGTTTTTATGAGTGCCACAGCAGCATTTAAGCTTCCCAGAAAATGTAACCCATACACCAAGCCGTGCTCTGTGCTACAACCTACGTAACCACACCAGCACTGCAGCTCCAAGGACCAAACTGCTGAAACTGATGGCCCAACCATTTGAAGCAGCCTTTCTCAGCTGCCCCTCCTCCTTCCTGGTTCCTGGCTCACCTGCAGACAGGCTGCTTCCAGGCGCAGGTGTCTCTGCTCCTGGGGTCTCATGGAACCACCTGGTAGGTGACTCCTGCTGACCCTGACCGGTACCTGGACCTTTACTGCTTAATTACAATGTGAGTATCTTGCATACTTCCCAGGTGTTCTGAGATGGCTCCAGCCTATGGTCTCCTCTCTGCTCCCTGGCTCAGGCATCTGCAGATGCTAGCTGTTCACCTACTAGACCCTCCTGATCACATCTGGGGACCTGCCTGTCAAGCAGATGCCGCCCAGCACTGGCTTATGTCCCACACCTTTGGCCTGAGCCACCAAGTTTTGGGTCTCCAAGTTTCTTGAAGCTCTGCCCTTGCCTGGACTCTAGCACAGAATCTACCCTACCAGTGCCTTCCTCTACCCACAGGCAATTCTTGTCTCAAAGAAAAAGTGTTGTAAGGCCTGAAAAGCTGGTTCACATATTGGCGTGGTTTCCTTAATACTATGGGTGAGCCACACACACCAAATATTACCGGGGCAACACAACAGGAGTTGCAGGGGTACACTCAGCATGCCTTTCTCCATATCTACTGGTAAGAAACCACCAATAGCAGCCACTCTGGTTTGAAGTAGCATGTTTTACTTCCAATTCTTACCCGTTGCAAAAACTCAATAGGGCTGTACTTGGGTCCCAAAACAAAAATTTTCTTTCCTCTTCGAGCTACGCCACTGAACACACGCGCAAATGCAATGAAAGATTCTTGGTTGCTTTCTTCCTGGAGCTCAGGGTGAAGGGTCACACTTTCCACTTCCTGCTCATCACCTGCCACATACAAAAGGATTATCAAGTGCCAAGAAGGCTCTGTTTAACCAAGGAACCAACCTGGAAGGACAGAGGGAATAGTGAATAAAAAGAACACTGACAAAAATGACGATTAACAGGGAAGGGCAAGTGTCCAAAGGTAAGCCTACTCGGGAAAGCTATACCTCTCAGCTCTTCTCCCTGCGGATTCGGTTCAAGGACGCCCCCATCCTGGCCAGGTTCTGTGGGTGTCTGCCCCCGGGTGGCCGCAAGCTTCTCCGCGTGCCTCTTCCTCGCCCGCTCACGTCTCTGAGCGATTTCTTCTTGTGTGAGAGGCCTAAAGGGTATCACAAATGCATTATCATCTGGCCACTTCAGGCACCTCTCCACAGCTGTAGCCATGGGAGGGCTATGACAAGGGCCGACAATGCTGTCTCCCCAGAGACTGTGAGGAACTGGCATATGACACTCCATATTCCCAAAGGGAGCCAAGAACAACATGGAGCCTTTCTCAGGCACTTAGACTCCTTCTGGAAGAAGCCAGGAACAGGGGAAGGAAGAGAACAAGTAACTGATGAAAGGGCTCGAAACACTCTGAGAAAGACATGCAAAAGTCTCAATAAGAAACTCAGGTTTTCTTAAGTTCAAAATATGTTTTCAAGGAGAACTAGGATTTACAGGGAAGGGTTTAAGGTCAGGCTGAGTACTGACCAATCAGCTAGACTAAAATGTCAAATTTAGATCATCAGGGTTTGTGTTAGACCCAAGAGGGACCAAACAGAAAAGGCAATGGTGGGCATGTGGATTTGTGGAGTTATCTAAACTATATTTCCTGGCAAGTTACCCTCATTCCTCTCAGGACACAGTGAAGGTACTTGGAGCTTTACTACTAAAAACATCTTCACAAAAGGGAAGCTCTGAACTAAACAAAAATGGTGACATTCGTGTGGGAGCTCTGGTTTGGCGGGTGGCTGGCCCCCAGGACTGGGCCCCCTTCCAAGTGGTCCTCAGGAACCCACCTGCAGGCTGAACCCCAGCATAGCAGGACCAGTCCCTGCCCTCAGGTTGACAGACGTGAGCACATTCACCACCACAACTGGATCGAGGGTCCTGACTTCATGCTCTGTGCCTCCCTCCCATGGGGTCCCTCACCGCTGACAGTGATTCCTGCTCTGCTCCCTGACCTCTGTCTTGACCCCAGACTGACAGTTGCACCTCCCACCCTGCCACACAGCCTCATCTCCTCAAGTACTGGAACCGTGAGGAGAGGCACCTGCATGTACTGCCTCCACATTCTCATCCCCAACTTACACAAGAAAGCATAAACAGGAGGCTTGAAGTCCAGTGTGACCCAGGAATACAGTGGGACCCTATTTCAAAAATAACCAACACAAAAAGGGTTGGTGACATGCTGTTCCCGTAAGCACAAGGCCCTAAGTTCAACCTCAGTGATGCCAAACAGAAAAAAGTATCAATTCTGTTCCACTGGAGGTGCAATTCATTGCACTTGAATCAAAATCCCAGAAGGGATGTGCGTGCGTGCAATGTGCAGGTGTGGGCAGGCACGCGTGCATGATACCTAGTTTACCTAGTTATTCTCTCAACTATTTATTCCCTTGTTCATTTACTGATCCAGCACCTAATTCATTTGCCCCTTCATTGACCAATTTGTTTCCTGTTCGGTCATCCATCCTTCACTGACATTTATGTACTCCTTTATGTATTCCTTCATTTATCCTCCGCCCAAGAGTCACTGAAGTCTCCTGTCACACACATGAGGTAATTCTTATGAAGATCACTAAGGAAAGGTGACAAATGGACAGGTGAACAGGACTGGGACAGGGAAACTGGCTTGGAGGTTCACAGTAATTTTAGGATCGAAACCATTGTGGGAAACCGGAGAGATGGGAAGGAGGGGACATGAAAAGCAAATGACCAAGAACAGAGAAACGCTGAAAAAAAAAACCACCCTCCCCCACCTGCCACCTCCATGTATCCATGACAGACACACAGAGAGACAGAGAGTCAGACATTCACTGCCCACCAAGGAAGACAGAACTCCTCAAGACAAGGTTGGGGCAGGGACCACACCATGCCCACCACATTCAGCAGTGACTACTGTTCTCACTCCTCAGATTCACATTACATCAGTTCAAGACCACGTCCCAGAGGTGGGTTCAACAGCTTCCTCCTCTGGAGGTGTCACAAGGACACGTAGCTGGCTCAATCTGAATACTAGGGTGAGGAAGAGAGGCAGTATCTGTGCCCTCCCGCCCCAGTTCCCAGCGACCCCTCATCCTCACCTTGGCTTGTTCTGAGGCAAGGCTTTGACATCTACAGCAAACATTTTGGAGACAAAAATGATGACGGGAGCAGTGTCCTCACCTCCGCAGTTCATGAAGGCTACACAAGCAGAAGCAAAAATGTCACTTTTTTTTTTTCATGGTTGAAAACCCAGGTTTTTCTGGGAAGCAATTAAGACATTTAGAATATAGCACCACCTAAACACCCAACTGCTTACAACAAGGACAAGAGTTCCATCTGGAAAGGTGGCTGGGAAAGAACAATGGAGAAGAAGCAGCAGAGCAGGCAGAGATGGACAAAGAAGCAAAGTGATGGGCGGGGGCTCCTTCATCAGAGCTGCAGTTACAGAATGGGCTAGCCCCTGCCCACTCCTACTTTGAAGGTATAAAACCACCGATTTTACTTTTAAAAAACCCATTACCCCAGTATCAAAATAATTTGTACACAAAGAATACCAGAGGAAAAAGATCAAATGGAAAAAAGAACAGGAAGAATTAAACAGCTAGCACAAGTTTTGCCAGGAAACTTCAGGACGGTTTGAGGAAGAATGGCGTGTGCTAACGTGTGTACACGCTAACAGCATTGCTTTGACGGTGGCATGGAGAAAACATAGCAGGGTAGGACTCAAGAGCAGAGCAGAGACCATCAACAGGTTACCACAGCCAGGTGAGGATGATGGCTGCCTGGCTCAGAAAGGCAGAGTACAAACGTTGAGATATAGTTCAAAAGAACAACAAACAGAATTTTCTGGTACAGGGTGAAGGGGTGTGAGATAACCACAGAAGACTCAAAGCTTTTGGACTGAGCCAAGGAAGGATGCAGGTGCCTGTAACTGAGATGGGAATAACTAGGAGGAGCAGGCTTGGGGATGAGGTGAGGATAAGGCAAAAGGTGAGTTTGGAATACGTTATGTTTGAGATGCTTCTTGGACTGCCAGTGGTCAGAGAGAGTGTGCAAACTGAGTGTGAGTCTGGAATTCAGAGAGCAGATGTGCACTGCAGGCACCAACGTGGAAACCATGAGTGTATCACTGCATTTCGAGTCTGAGACTGGGGGCTGGAGATGTGGCTCAAGTAGCAGAGTGCCAGCCTAGCAAACACAGGGCACTGAGTTCAAACACAGTACTGCCAAAAAAAACAAAACAAAACCCAACCAAGCCTGAGACTGGACAAGCTCATCAAGAGAGTGACTGCAGGTAAAACAGCTGATGTGCAAAGACTGAGACAGCCCAAAGAAAAGAAGTCAGGAAGACAGAGAAGAACCAATGGCAGCAAGGGAGACAGGGAGAAAAGTAGACATCAATGGAGCAAAGTGTTCCATGGGGGAAGAAGTGACTGACTGTGTCAAGTGCTAGTGACAGATCTGACCAGATGAACTGAGAACTGGTCACGAGATTTAACAAAGCGAGAGTCAGTTGTGACCTCCAAAAGGAGCAGTTTGAGGAGCAGGGGTTGCAAACCAACCGGATGAGAAGAACCGGAACGACAAATACACACCAATTTCATGGTGCCTACAGAGTCTACCAGGGAGGCCTCTCCTCCCACAGGAGCGTGCCCAGGGCGTGCAAAGAGCAGCACCACCCCCACCCTCTTTTCTAGTCCCTAGAGACACATGCTCGCTGTTGAGGAGGACCGAGTACAGTCTAAGTATGAAGTGAGATTAGGGCAGCAGGAAGGAGTTGGAATCTACTTGCCCACCCACTGGCAAAGCAGTTAAAGCAAAACTGAAACTCTGTGTGTGTCAGTGTGTGTGTGTGTGGCAGCGGGGGTGGAGGGGAGAGGTGAAGGGACAGATGAATGGTCATTTGTGGAATTGGACATGTAGCAAATTGGTCCTTTTGCTGGCACTCACCAAACTGACGTACAGCAGCCTGGATAAGGAGAGCCAAGAACATGGTTCATTCCATATTCATCTTTGCCTCACCTTCTTTCAGGGCTTGAGTTTCTGGTGGCAAAGAGTCAAATGTCTGCGATCCTGTGCACATCAGTCTCTCCACTCTCTCAGATGTAATATCAAGGGGACTAGGCAGTTTGTGACACACCATAGCTTAAGCCTGTTGTTAAGGACTCAACACTGTGAGCTTGTGCCCTCCAACAAGCAAGATTCACTGTGTGCACCAAACATTAAAGAAATAACATATGTTTGTACAGAAGATGCCTAGGCTGTAAGGCAACGATGCACTGTGAATCACAATTGCAGGGAGCTCAGAGACCAGAGCTCAGACCAGATGCTCAGGACAGCAGAGCTTAGCATGCCGGCTGCCTGTGACCTTGGAAAAAAGTTAGTTATCATAAGCACTGAAATTATCTACTTGTATGTAACCATTACAAACGTATTCTCATCTCATGCTCATTAAACAAAAATGTCTTTTTATAAGAATATTTACTAGTACTAATATCAATCCGTATTAGTGCATAATTGTTAAAGTAGCAAATCGTTTGAAGGTAGGACGTGAAATTAGCAGAGAAGACATGCTTTGCATTGGAGTGCATTATTTCGAGGCGATTACCAGGTTGTCCATAAAGTGCTGTTTTTCTTACTTATCAAAACCGTTTCCCTAAAAACCACCAAATAAAGGATACCAAGGACAGCGTGGGACACGGGCAGCCACTGACTGCAGATGGCACTGATCTGGACTTTGGGGTCTGAATGTCGTGCCTCCCGGGCTCCGAGCTTCAATCCTAAAGACGTCACTATTTTATCAACTTTTTCCTTGTCCCTACAGTGAAAATCAGGGGAAAGCATGAGCGGACATGAACACGTAGTGGAGAAAGGAGCCCAGCACTGCGGGACACATTTTTTTCCTTAAGCACTGTTCTTCAGGAGCATGAACAGTAAAGGGACCTGCTCAGCAGAGGACTCCCGGCTTCTGTCCTACACCTTAAGCCACCTCACAAGGCACTGTCGCACACGCTCCTCCCGCGACAGCTGTGGACAGGGAAAGTGGCTTTTCAGGAGAATGCTGAGAAGTTACGATTCCACCTCAGAATAATGTGGACAGTAACTGCTACAGCCAGCCTCCTTTCCCACCTGTACCGGGCTCGCAGTACTCTATGAATGTACATGTCGGGTACCTTTCTAGTACAGTCGCTCTTTTAAAAAGCGAGCTCATTCGAAAACAAGGCCCAATGTCTCCCTCCATGCTTGCATCTCCTTCCCAAGCACTCAGAAACACTGCCATCCTCCCTCGCCCTTTACTTCACGGGGTTCATGCGCCCTTTAAACTGTCTCCATGCCCATAATGCACTCCTCTGTGAGGCTCGCCCACCATCTCCATGTAGCTGGGCTTTCTATGAGTGATTCACCAAACAGGAAAGTGAGAAAACGACAGTGCCAAGGACACCCGAGGATAAACATCAGCACAGCCTTACTTTCTCAAGACAGCGTCATACAAGCTCCATATATTTTCCAGGATCAACTGTACAAATAAAGGCTTCTTCCCTTTGGCCTGTGCAAAAAAAACACATAGACTTAAGTTCCTGACACTTACCAGACATTTTAGTATTCATTCTCAACATGTCTTACTATCACCATGGCTCAGTTCTACTCAAAAATACTTGTTGGGGCTGGCAAAGTGACTCAAGTGGTAGAGCACCTGCCTAGAAAGCATGAGGCCCTGAGTTCAAACCCCAGTGCTGCCCAGAAAATACTGTTTACTGGTAAAGATGAAAGCACTTCTAAGAATGTGCTAAACAAGCCATCAGTAATTCAGTCGATAACCCACTACTCCCTTCCCTTGGGAGTCAGGTTCCCTGAAGACAGCATGACCATCTGGGGACAAATCACAGCAGCACCTCACTGTGTATGTACAGCTCTTCCCACGCACTTCAAGTGTTTTAGAGGAAATATAAAATGTTCTTAAATATGAAAAAATGTTCACAAGGACAGAAAAATTAAAACCCACTGTTATTCTTCGCAACCTACACAAAAGTCAACAGGCAGAGATCGGGAGCCGTCACTCCCACACAGACACGACACGACATGTAAATCAACACTTCCCGTCCAGAAAGCATTTGGCCACAGTACGTCAAAGTTACGGCTTCTGAATGTCTGGTTTAAAAAGTCATCAGAAAGACTATCTGATACCTATCACAGCTTTCCTTGGAATGCAAAAATATCTGAAAAAACCAACTATGTCCAAATCAGGAGAGTTATTACATAAATGATGGTGCTCTCACACAACCATCCTAACTACTCTGTAAGTCCTATTATGCCAACTTTACAGTGGAAAAAGGGAACAAGAGTCACAGGCAGTAAAAGGTGGACCCAAGATACAAACACAGGATTAACTCTGAAGCCATGCTCGCTCCCACGGGAGTTGGGAACCAAGAACAGCATGGACACACTTTGAAACATACTGTTTCAAATGCACTGTTTTAAAACAGGTCTAATGGCAAAGGAAGATGCTTGTGATGTGGCATTACACAAAAAAGGCAGCTACACTGTGTAAACAGTGCACTCCCCATGCAGGTTGTACATTCATGAGAAAGAGTGAAAGAAATGAAAACCACATCACTTGCCATGTCAGCCTGTCTGTCTCCCATAGCTTTATATCTGTGAACACTTTCAAAAAGGGATATATATAATGTTCAGTGAAAAAAAATTTGCAAAATGCTAAACTCGACATGAGAAAACCCAAAGCATCAAGAAGCTATGTGTGACAGCAGGCAGTCCCATGCACCTTCACTCAGAGTGGGGTCCAAAGGACAGCTGCCTCTCCCCCTCAGCCCTTCGTGGTGACCAGAATGCAGGAGACAAGGCCTCCACTGAGACCAGAAGTACCAGGGTTCAAACAGTGAGTCTGTCAGTCACATGCAAACACACACAGTAAAACGTGTGTCTAAGTGCCCGGGACCAGAGGTTTTTCACTTTTTTTTCCATTTTCATTAGGATATATTAATTGTATTGGGGGGATTCATTTTGACAATTTCAAATAGGCTTACACTGTACATTGGTTAGATTGCTCCCACCATCTTCCCTTTTGAACTCCTCTCCAACCCACTTAAAGCACTTGCAAGAGCTTTCATAGTTCTACTTCACCTAAGTATATGAAGTCCTTCAACCATCTTCTCTCACCTTAATCTCCTTCATTTACCCCCCCTCCCACAAGGACCCCCAAACCTATTTTAAAGTCCTGTCTTTCACTTTTAATTCCAAAGTCAGTGTTCAAAGGGGTTTCTTGATGTATCCCAGCTGTGAGTATACTGAACTTTGGTCAGTTCAACTCTTACTCTCCCTTACCTCCTCCTTTCTACCCTCCATTATTCAACAGCTTTCAGTACACATCCTTACATCCTCTAGCTGCACAGATGAGATGTATTTTGATACTGCTGACTATCATTCTCGTTTCCTTTCCCTCCTCCCAAGTTCCACAGAGTAGTTTCACTATTACATACATGTTCTACAAATAAATGTGTATCTATCGTGGTTGTTTTTGTGTATACATTTATCTTTTGGATCTATCTTCCACATATAAAAGAAAACATGCATCCTTTATCTTTCTGAAGTGAGCTTACTTCACTTAACATGATGTCCTCTAATTCCATCCATTTAATAATTTAATTGGTAATAGTAATTAATTTCATTCTTTGTATGGCTGAATAAAACTCCATTGTGTATATGTACCACATTTTCTTAATCAATTCATCAGTTGTGGAGCATCTGGGCTGTTCCATACCTTGGCTATTGTGAACAGTGCTGAAATAAACATGGGTGTGCAGGTGCCTCTGGAGTAACATGACTTACGTGCGGTATCATTGGATCATATAGCAGTTCTAATTTAGGTTTTTAAAGATCATATAGCAGTTCTATTTTCAGTTTTTTGAGGGGTCTCCATACTGCTTTCCATAATGGTTGTACCAGCAGTGTGAGGGTTCCTGTTTCCCTGCATTCCTGTCAGCATTTATTTTTGTTCTTGAAGACAGCAGTTGTAACTGGGTGAGATGAAATCTTAGTGTATTTTAATTTGCATTTCAAAAGTGTGTCTTAAGTGCACAGGACTTGAGATTTTAATTTTCTTAAAAGAAAAAAAAAAAAGCAGCTCTTGTTCACTTTATTTACTTTGAGACAGGATCTCATTTTCCAGGTTAGCCTTAAACTCCTACTAAACTCAAGTGAGTCTCCTGCCTTGGCTCCCCAGACTGGGACTACAGGCACACACCACCTACCCAGCTCGCTCAGCATCCGATCAGGACACGAAGCTCTACACGAACACTACTCAGATGTAAGATTCCCACAGCAGAGCCCATCATGAACTCACCTCATGAACTAAAGCTGCCTCGGAGCCAGCAAGGTATTACAGAACAGGTCATCTGTGACCAGTGATCAAGAGACACATCGAGACACATCCACATTACCTGCTCGACCTTCATAATCTTCTTGGCCTTCATGTTCATGTAATAATCTCCCCACAATGTTTTCAAAAGAACTTCCTTTCTGATGCCAATTTTTTCACTATAGATTTTGGCAAAGTGCTCAATGCTGAAAGAAAACCAAGAGTTCATGTTAATAATAATAAACATAGCTAATCCTGAGTGTTTCTTGTATGTACTGTTCAAAACTCTTCACATGTACTACTAAACTTCACCTTCTAAACTACCCTACAAGTTTTCCCAAAAAGAACAAGAACACACAGAGAGTATACAGGTAGAAGTGAAGTTGGAATTCAAACCCAAGCAACCTGGGTCAAAGCCCAAGTCTTCACTCCTGGAAGTACAATTACTCACAAAGGGAATGCACCCTAAAGCCAGAACCTGCCAAAGCAAGTTTTTCAGCATCCCAGATTAAAGAGTAAGCACACGAACACTCACTCAACTCTCATCCACCTGTAGAGAAACCAGCTAGCAACACAAGTCTCCAGCCACAGGACAGCAGTCAGTCAACACATACTTCAGATAAAGGACAAGGAAATACCTGTTTGCATGAAGCAGTATGTTAATCTAAGGTTGAGTCTGAAACTCTCAAAGTACTAGCATCTTAACAAATGCCTGCTCAGGAGCAAGGCAAGGGATATCCCTTCTCATAACCCTTTTCAACACTACAGTGGGAGGCCAACACTAATGCAGTAAGGACATTAAACTACAGTGATTAAAAGTAAGAAATAAAATTATCTTTTATTTGCAGATCACACAATTGCCTATGCAGAGAAAACCCAAAGAACCAATAAAATTACTATTGAAACTAATAAACAATTGTCAAGATTACATGCATAGAGGTTAACATACAAAAATCAAAGACTTCCCTATACCAGAAATGATCAAATGAAATTTAAAAGAACAGTATCATTTACAATAATGCCCCCAAATAAAACACTGAGGTATAACTCTAACAGAAAGTCTATATAAGATCTAAAACTGATGAAAGAAATTAAAGAACTACATAAGTCAAGAGATTCCAAGTTCACCACACGTATAGGAAGGCTTAATACAGTCAACATGTCAGTTCTTCCCAATTTAATCAATAATCCAATGCAACCTCAATCAAAATCTCAGCAAGAGAAAAAAAAAAAACAAAAAAAAACCTTAAGGTTTATATCCAGAAGGCAAAAAACCCAGAATAGCAATATTGAAGGAGGGGCCAATTGTCGTCAAACTTCAAGATTACTGTAGAGCTGTAGGAATCAGGAAAAATAAATGTGAGGAAGAGAGCAGCGAGTCTAGACTAGACCACGGAAGTGCAGCCAACTCATCTCTGACCAAGGGGAAGATAAAGTAATGAAGAAAAGACTGTTCACAAATGGACAGCTACATCCAAAAAGTACCAAAAGCCTGAATCTAGACACAGACCACACACTTCGAGAAAATTCATTCAGAATGGATCACAGACTTAAACCTAGGTGGCTGAGCTATGGCGCCAACACTTCAGACAGAGTGGTACGGACACGATCCACGAACGGAAAGCTGGTAGGTTTGTTCCATGAAAATTTAAAACTTCTTCTCCAAGAACACTGTCAAGAGAATGAGGACATGATCCACAGAATGTGAGGGGATCCTTGCAGAAGACACACCTGATTAAAGGACTGTTATCTAAAACACATAAAAACTCTTACACTCAAGAGGAAGAAAACAAACAATCTAAGTAAAGACAGACCAAAGAGCTCAACAGACACCTCACGAGGAAGAACACGAGCGGCCCAGGACTCTACCACCAGGAAAATGTGACCCAGAACCACCATGAGCTGCACCACACAGCTATCTACTGGGATGGCCAAACTCCAGAAAACAACAGAACCAAACACAGGCAGAAGAGTCCATTCATCACCGGTGGTGCAGCTCTTGAGGAGACAGTCTGGCAGCATCTCACAAAACCAAACATCCTGACCACCCAATGCAGCAACCGTGATCCATGGTAAGTATGCACAGACATCAGTTAAAAGCGAACATCCACCCAAAAACCTGCACATGCTGTTTACAGCAGCTCAATTCATAATCGCCCAAATCTGAACGCAACCAAGGTATCCTTCAGTAAGTAACTAGACAAACTGTTGGGTTTATTTTTTATTTCTTCTTTTAAAATACTGCACCTTGTTAATAAGTTATTTCATACACATATTGTCAACTTTTTGGATCAGGTGAACTTATGGTGAGGTTTCTTTTCATGTATCTTCCTTTTTAAGACAAAGTCTCACTATGCAGACAGGTTGGCCTTGAACTTCAACCTTCCTGTCTCAGCTTACTAAATGCTGAGATTATAGGCGTGTACCACCATGCCCAGCTAGTGCTTGTCTCTTAAAATAATGTCAGATAAATATCCTGCTTTTAATACTAAAAGTGGCAAAAGAGAATATTTTTAAATATTCTAACATCTCTACCCAAACCATAAATTATCTGCCCAAGCCACCATCATCAAATCTTTTCTAAGTTAGTATGTATTAACACATGCAAACACACAGCACACAAGTCTGTCAGGTTTGCTTTCTATCCCTTCATTCTTTCTTATGCCATGGCCCCATCACTATGTGGAGCTCTGCTCACTTATCTCCCACTAGTGTAATTTTACAGCAGTCTCTAGCACTTCTCCACTCTTGCATTACTTTACTTCAATTCTTCTACAGTGACTGCAAACTAGATTCTCAAGAGACCCACAGAACGTGCTTACATTCCAAGACCTCGCTAATCCAGCAGCTGGCTGTCTTCTGAATGACAGCCAGGCATGAAGTTACTCAGCCATGTGCCCTTTGCCCTCCCAAGCTAGCTGGCAGAAGCTGGTACACAAAGACAAACAAAACTATTGGGAAGGGTTCCCACTGTCCCCTCCTCCTCCCCCTCTTCCCCATAGGAAAGGCTTTCTCTTGTCCTCTCCCCCTCCCCGCTGTTCCCAAGGCTTCCTCCTCCCTGCTCCTCTCCTCAGGGTTGGCGCCTCAGTTCTGTCTACTCAAAGCTGGCACTCAGGTTCTTGCCCTTGCCCTTGCCCACCCAAGTATTCTCCCCAGAGCAGACACACCCAGATTAAGATCTCCTGAAAAGACAGACTTCATGGGAGACCTAGGTTCAACTTGTCACACTGTACAAGAGCTCATAGGATCATCTTCTCAACTCTTGAAATGTGCTCATTTTTCACCTTTTATGACACATGCAGATGACAACTTTGCCTACTGGTGACAATGCAGAGGAAAACTGGAAGGAAAAAGACGTCTTCAGGGTTTCCTTTCCCACCTCAGTTTTCTCATAAACTCAGGCAGCAACCTGCAAAGAACAGCTGTAGCCTATCTCTGTGTGACCTTATCCAACTCAGAGACTCCTCACCTCATGACAGATAATGTCTAAAAATGTCACAAGATGGAAGGAATGCAGAGTTACCCAGTCTTCCTTTAACTTGTGAGACTAACACTAAAACTGGCTTAAATGCTAAATTAATTTTGCAAACCATGGTAAAAGGATAACTCTCCACCTGTGGTTCATGAACAGAATGTCAACAAACAAGGGCATCAACAAACCTGAGTCTGTGAGGTGACTGGGGGAATCTCTTGCTTTATTTATTTATCATTTATTTTTGAGGCAGAGTCTCACTATATAGCTCTTGCTGGCCTCAAACTAACTATGTAACGCAGGCTGGCCTTAAACTCCCAATCCTCCTTCCTTGGTCTCCTAAGTAACTAACATCTAAAGCCAAAAAAAAAATAAAACTTAAACCGAAGTCTCACACCTGGTGCAAAAATTAACTGGAAGGTAAAGCTAAGTACTTTTAGGAAAAATAAGAGAAAATCTTCAGGATCTCGAGCCAGGCAAAGTTCTTCACCTGACACTAAAAGCAAGACCCATAAAAAGAAAACTGGTAAGCTGGAGTTCTCCCAAATTAAAGACTTTGTCCTGTTTAAGACACGCTACGAGGAGGCAAAGCTACCCACAGGCTGGGAGAAATACATGCAAAGCAACTATAAGACAAAGGACTAGTATGGAGGACACACTCCTAAGAACCAAAGGGAGCACACCTGCACACCTGTGGTTCCTGTGGCACACTCACAACAGCCAAATCATGGTGTCAGCCTAGGTGCCCATCAACCCATGAGTGGATGAGGAAAATATGGCCTATAAACACAATAGATATTATTCAGCCTTAAAGAAGAACCAGACTGTGCTGTTTTCAGGAAAATGGGTGGAAGTGGAGATTAAGAAAAACAAACATCACGTTTTCTAGATTTTAAAACAAAAAAGGCATGGAAGGAGGAAGGGGGACTATTTGTATGGGGAGTAGACCAGCGGGAGGAGGATGGGGGACAAGACAGTGGAACAGTAACTAAATGTATTCAAGGTACACAGTACATGAGGATGAAAATGTCATGATGAAACCCACTATGTTGTACAGTTAATAAAAAAAATTTGGCCAGCCTGGGCAAACCCCAGCCCTGAAAATAAAAAACAAAAATACTAAATTTTCAGGTACCATATGACCTAGCAATTGCACTCCTGAACATTTATCCCAGAAAAATAAAACATGTTCACACACAAACCCATTATGAATGTTTATACCAGCTTTACTTGTAATCGCTGCAAACTGGAACAAATCCAGCCGTCCTTGAAAAAGTGGGTGGTTAGACTGTGGTAAACCCAGGCAATGGGTACCACAAGCAGTAATAAGGAACCAACTCAAACCAGGCCCTGTGGCTCACACCTGTAATCCCAGCTACTAAGGAGGCAGAGAGCAGGAGGATCTCAGTTCCAAGCCAGCAAAGGCAAATAGTTCCAGACCCTATCTCAAAAAAACCCTTCACACGCACACCAAAAAGGGGCTTGTGGAGTGGTTCAAGTGGTAGAGCACCTACCTGTCTATCAAGTGTAAGGCACTGAGTTCAAACTCTAGGGCCACCGAAAAAGAAAAAAAGGACCTATTACAGGCTTAGCATCCTAACCCAAAGACCCCAAATCCATGATACCATAAGAGAAAGCTCCACAGGTTGAGTCCCACAGTAAAAATACTGCATAAAATGACCTCAGAGTATATGTATAAGGCATGTATGAAACACAAATGGATTTACAAATACTCCAAAATCAAAACCAGTTCTAAATCTGAAACACTTCTTATCCTAAGCATTGTAGATAAGGACTTACCCTGTAACACTGGTACAGGGTGCACCAGTCCTTAGAGAGTCATGTTGAAGAAAAGAGCCCGTCCAGAAAAGTGACAGGTTGTTTGGCTCCATTCTCTAATTCTCTTACTTTCTTTTCTTTCAAGTTCATCAAGAGTTCGTTTTAGTATGGTTTTCTGTGACATTCTTGAAATGCTGGGTTATTGGGATGGAGAGCATCAAGGCTGTCAGGGTTGAGGAGGGATTGGGGTGGGAGGAAAGTAGGTGTGGCTACACAGCAAAATGCAGGTTCCTTGTGATGATCAAAGTGTCCTCTGTTTTGACTGCATCACTGTCAGCATCCTGATTGTATACTGTCTTACTGTTTTGTAAAGTGTTACCAGGAGCAGGGAGAAGGGTACTGAGTAAAAAATACAAGAGCACTCTGCATTATCCTCACTACTGTGTGTGACTATATAGTGCCTCAAAATAAAACAGTTAACTTGCTGGGGAGTGAGTCGAGCAGTAAGAGTACCTGCCTAGCAAGTGTGAGGCCCTGAGTTTAAACCAGTGCCACCAAAAACAAAACACCCATAACAAATAAAAAGGCTAACTCAAAAAAGACTTACCCAAAGCCCCACCCGTCTATCGCACTGGTGAACACCACGTTCCCCTGCTCTGGAGAGAAGTAGAGGTGAGAGTCATCTGTGTCCTCCAAGCCTGTGCTCCAGTCGTACACCTGCTCTCCTTGTTCAGAGTTTGGATTCACGCGGGCTTCTGCCTCTCTCTCTGCTCTTTCTTCTAGGACTTTAGAAGTAAAAAGAGTTCCTGTGAGTGCGTTAATCTAGGAGAGATGGTGAAATGGCACAGTGTCACTCAGATGCTTGGCAAGCTCATGGGAAGAGAGGTACTATCCAACCTTGGTTAGGGCTGGGATCCTCCTCACAGCTGGGCTGAGTGGAGGAGACATTTACCATCAATCAGTAACTTACATATAATAACCCATTCTTTCAAACTCCAGCAGCACTAGCTTTGGAAAGATCAGTTTTTGGATGTCACCATTTTAATGTAAACGCTAATGAATCGTAACTTTTTTTTTAGTACTGGGGAATGATAGCACAAGAAACTCGCGGTTTCCAAACCCTGATTCCGATTTGTGAATTTAGTCAATTCCCTCGCCTGTTCCTTACATTGGTGTTCAGGCCCCCTTCCCAATCTCAAATCCCAAACTATTTTCACTTCCAAATAAGTCATCTTGTTCCCTAGCTCAGGAGAAGATGCATGTTCCCCTATTCTAACCGCTAAGCCTGCTTCATCTGCAATCATGGTCTCCTGCCTCTCACTGCAGAGTGGGGAGGGCTTTTCTGCAGGGCAAGAGCTTTCCACACACCGCCTCCTTCTACAAGGACCAAGTGGACCAGTCACTCCTTCTCATCAATCTACCCTTACTCACCATTCCAGCCCTTGAGCAAAGAAATACACTCAGGCTGATCTCATCAATGACATCTGACTGTCAGAAGAATTTCATACTCCTCATGTGCATGACATAGGAGGCTCACTAAGATCTAAGTCACATTTCTTTCTCTTGTCCCTGCTTACCGTGATGCAATTCTGCAGCTGTACCAAAGTGAACTCCATGAAGGAGATGCTGGCCTGTGCTTTCACTTGGCTGATGGCTTTGCACATCACAGTTCTTCTAAGAGTCCTTTCTTTAATTTTCTACCTGGCAAACACCGGCCTTTCCTCCATCTCAAGGTTTGTTGTAAGACTTTTTCTGCCTCTTCCCTCTTGACTCAGACTGGGTTAGGTGGCTCTCGACTACACTCTCAAACCACACCTAGGGTGTATCCCTTTGCTCTTCGACTGTCCGTACACTGCAAGTTCTTTGAAAACAGGGACTGTGACCTGTCTAGCTTTGCGTTTGCAGCCTCTAGCACACAGCAGACCATCTGGTAACTCCTTTATTTCCATATTCCAAATACACATTTGCTGAATAAACAAATGCTTCAGTAAAACTTCATCTAAGACTGGTAATAAACTACCACAGAGCTTCACTCAAGAAGCAAACTACAAATTTTAAACAAGTGCCCACTGTCCACACTTTGGTGCTCCCAACAGATGGGAGAGTCTTGACATGAGCCAGTTCTGCTGCCCATCATGGTTTGACGACTCCAACATCCATGAATCATAAACAGACAACTTTCAAATATGTGAATATTCTGCAGTTAACTCCTCACACTCAACTCGGTGACTTCCTTGTAACTTTTCATTGAGCCCAGTTTTTAAAATACTGAAGCACACAGTACCTGCTCTAAAATATTCTTGAGATGAGAATAGGCCTCCTGGGGGGTGAACTTCAGCTCCACTATCAGGCGGTCCAGCTTATTAATCACTAACACTGGACGGATGCGCTCAAGCCATGCTTGTCGCAGAACTGCCTGTGTCTGATAAGAACAGAAAAAAAATCATAATGACTAAATGATTAAAGCACGTCAGAAAACACATTCCCATACTCCTTTGCCATAGCTCAGACTGTGCCGGTCAGACACAGGCATTGACCAGGTGTTCACAAAGTACACGTATAGCACAGGAGTGAACTTCAGACATGCACCATCCTTGTCTTTATGAAACTCAGTTTGTTTAGGAAGGACAAGTGAAATTGTGTAAGGACAGCAAAGAGGCTGGTAGAAATATCTGTGTATCTGTGACACAAACATGCACACAGGTAAATGAACGATTATTAAACAAAGACCCACTGTGAAACAATGTCAGGTAAAATGCAGAGGGCAATCAACACAGTAACCAAGTGTTTCCTCTTTCCCCACCTTCTTCAACCAGTGAGACATTTCACTTGGCACCATTACCTGTGGACAGACCCCTTCCACAGCATCCACTACAATGATGCACCCATCACAGATGCGAACGGCAGTTGACACTTCAGACGAGAAATCCACATGTCCTGGGGAGTCGATCAGATTAATCAGGTACTCCTCGGTACCTGAAATAAAATTTCAATACACATTTTCAGTTGTACAGGTAAACAGTATTCTTCCTTTGCCACTCTAGAATGAGGGACCTTCTAAGACAAGCCTGAAAGAAGCTGAAGGAGCCAAAAGCTCCATCGACTGCTATTGTTCCAACTTTTCCTCGTGATGGAGGGACCATGGACTTCAAACAGCATTGCGCTATGTAAAACACTGGAAGACTTTACTACCTTGGCAGTTACCACTTGCTAAGAGCTTAGTGTGAGCCAGCACTATGCTAGTCGCACAGTACTGAATCCTCACACTATCCCTATGAGACAAACGCTATGAATCCTCATTTCACAGACTAGAAAACTGAGATGAAAAAACAAGTCGTGCCTAAGGGCCAAGGGTCCAAGAGGGAACGCTGTTCAAAGGGCCGGCCCCAGAGAATATGAGCAGATGGCCGAGCTCCTCCCTAACTTCCCATAGAGCAGTGTGTGAATCTGCTCAGCCAACATTCAGACTCAAGTCTAAAACTCCTGCAGAAATGTAAGGGCAGTTATCACAAGCCAGGCAGTGTGTTGTGCTGTACCACTCACATCCAAGGTTCGAAGGTTAGAACAGGGTAAGTCCCCATTCTGACTTGTCTGCTTAGCACCGAAATTCACACATTGCATCAAAGCTGAAACCCAGGCAAAAGAGAGCAAATTATAGACACTTAACATGAAGACATGATTTAGTAAATCACCCAAATAGTAATACTACGAATCCTATACTCATTCACCCATTACTGCTAAATTTGATGTCACTGTTTTTAAAGACAAGTAATCACCTGAATGCCCAACGTAAATGTTTTACTTTTGCTCCTTCCCTTCGATGATGACTAACTTCAACAAGCTCGGGAATTACTGTGGGGCTGAATGTTACCCCCTATGCACCATTTAAAGGATCTCCCCCAGTGGGATTTTAATGGCTTCACTGTGCCCTGGGTGATAGGACAAGGGCAAAACAACACAGAAGTCACCACCGCTCACATACGGATTGCCTGTTTGTGCCTGGCCCTTACAACAACCCTCCACAGCAGTCACCACCATTAATCCCATGTTGCAGAGCAGGCTACCAAGGCCCCAAAACCTAAGTATCTTTCTCAGCTAGAACCCAACTCTGAGCTTAATTGTCTAAGATAAACCAATTCAAATAGGCACAAGTTCAAGCCCTTCTAACTCCAAGACCATGCCTTTAATTGCAACAGGCCAAGATAGCACTGTGGGTCCCCAAGGGCACTGGGCTTGGGGGAAAACTGCCATCGGTTAGCACCAGACGGCTTTCCTCAGTGCCACTGGTTCCTCTGGTCCATGGTCCTTCCAGGCAAACTGCTTTGAAAGGAACTGGGCTTGGCTGCACCCAGCAGAAAAGGTACAACCAGAGAAGATGTGGACATCTCCAAATGAAATCACATTGAGTGACCACGGCCTTGGAGCAATGGCCCACTTCCAGGTGCCACCATGGTCCCAACCAAATAAGCCAGAGAGAACTGAGCAAACCTAGCATGGACCAGGGTCCTATCACATGAAGCCAAAACCCTAAGATTCTTGGAGTCACTTGGCATTTTCTTGGGCTAGCCCTTCACTGCACAGGTAAATATTTCAAGCCAAAGTTTAAGAGACGTGCCAAGGTCACAACAGAAGCAAGCCAGAAACACACCAGCTCTACCTGATGGCCTAAGAAACGTCTTAACTTTTAGACTGCTTTGCATCTTTGCAGCTGGGGAAACCAGAGCTGCTTGCTTATCCAGTTAAGACAACAGACTTTAGGGTGGCAGAATTTTAAGAAGCCCTTTCCCATCCTTTGTGATGTTACTGGACCTAATAAAATATACTGTGTTTCCTGTCAGGATCTCTGCAGATTCTAAAAATGCACTCCTTCAGAAGTCCGGCTTTTATTGGGACTACGGACCTATTAGAGATTACTCTGTCTAATTACGCAATTCCAGACCTTTTGAAATTTATTTGGGGATGGCAGGTTCAGATCTTCATTCGGGGATGGTAGGTTCGGATCTACAAGGGAATAGAAAACTACTGATATACCAAATGTTTCCATCTGAAAATCTACATCCTGAAAAATAAGAGTGTGCGACCAAATCAACCTGGGAAACACAGCTAGCCTTGGAGCACAGTACCCACATTCATTATTAAGTGATCAGAGAAGCCCCGTATTAAAGCAACTTCTCAATCTCTGAAAACCTAGAGTTTCTCAAATGTATTTAAATGGTGAAAAAGAGGAAGTTCTGTGGCCAGTCACAAAGCTGGCATAGGCAGAATTCAGCTCAGAGCCAAGCCTCCCAACTTCTTTCAATGTCTTTTACCTCAAACAATAAAAAGTCCCTAACACCTCTTCTGCTATGGCTTAAGTCCCATTTTACTTCATTAACACTTGTTTTCTTGAATGTTGTTACTACTGTGAGGATCAAACTAAAAAAACACAAAAGCTGGGTATGTTGGCCCAGACCTAAGTACCAGCGCTCAGGAGGCAAAGGCAGGAGAATGGAGACGGGCAGCCTGTGCTACCTAGGGAGACCCTGTGTCAAAAAACAAAGGGCCGGGAACGTGGCTCAGTGACAGGGACCTTGCCTAGCATATGCAAGGTGATGGGTTTGACACCAGCTCTGCAGAACACAAACAAAAGAGGTCATGGAGTTTAACATATTAGATATATTACTGCTAACAAAAATTGTAGATGAAAAGTTTCATAAGCATGAAAAATGATCTTCCAATTTGTAGCACAAATAAATCCTGGTGCTGTGCACTGAATTAATCCCAGCTATTCATTCAGAAACAGAAACTCTCAATCCCTTATTTCCCAAGCGTTGCAAATAAATATCTTCACTTCAGAGGACTGATCTAATAAGCCAAGAAACAATCTTTTTTTTTTTTTTAATGTTCTGGGCAACTGAAAAAAACAAAGTTGAAAGACCTAAAGTTAATTCTGGGAGACATGCTCCAGACAGAGTCTGCTGCTAAAGGAGGTATGGGAAAAGCCTGTCCTAGCCATGCTCTGATGGCTCAGCCTATAATTCTGGCTACTTGGGAGGCAGCCATCAGGAAGATCACAGTTCAAAGCCAGCTCAGGCAAATAGTTCGGGAGACACTATCTTAAAAATATCCAATATAAAACAGGGCTGGTGGAGTGGCTCAAGCCACTGCAGAACCTGTCCTGATGGAATGGATGGCTGTTTCATGGAAGGTGCACAGTTGTTACCAGCGCCTGCCAAAACAGCTCTTACGTGAAAGCAAACTTCTTGTAAGGAATTGTTCAAGTTCCAAATCACTGGAGATGTGCACTAAGGCTTTCAGAGAAAGCTGATGAGGCAAAACTGACATGTGGATGAAGACCTGACTTTTGCACAGGTTGACACCTTTATTTCACACTATTAGAAGAGGAGTGTTATATCCAACAATACAAATAACAGAACACAAGCAAAATCTGAGTTATCTGATACGTTCCCAACCAGATTCCTTAACACCTAACACTTAATGTCTCCAGGAAAGGAGCCATGATCCTCCCTCACAGGAAGAACTCCACTGTCCTTTTGCATTCTGAATCAATGCATAAAACTCTAAGTTGTAAGTCAACTAATACGGTTATTTTGCAGTTCAAATCAGATCTGGGGTGACACCGCAAGGTCCACGTATCAGAGGCTCAGCCCTCAGGAAGGCACTATTGGAAGATGGTAGAACCTCCAAGAGGTGGGGCCGAGTTGGGGAGGTCATCTTAGGTCACCGGGAGGTCCCAGGAAAGGGGAAGGTGGGACTCTGGTCTCTTTGTCTTTCTCTATCACTTCCCAGACACCCTAAGGTGAGCACCTTCCTACACCACATGTTCACAACATGACATGCTCTCCAAAGGCCCCAAAGCAATGAACAGGGCCAATGGACCAAGCACTGAGCTAAAATATAAAATAAACCTTTCCCCTTTAAGTTGATCATGTCAGGCATTTTGTCAGAGAAACAGAAAGCTGGCTAACTCAGTTCATCATCTGACAGAATTGCAAAACACTACAATGTGTTTCATCTCCTAGCTGCTGACCCAGGTAACAGGGTACGGGGCGGGTCTTCGTGAGGATAGTGCCACTGATGGAGTAAGTGTCAACAGTGACAGTGCTGGGAAGAAGGAGAGAGCAGTGATGTAGAAATGACCATGAACAGAAAACAAATTCAGTGTTCCTTTTTCTTGCATAAAACCATCCCACAGGCCTGTCTGGACCTTTGTCCAACACAAATCAAACCAGACCATGTTTGAACTACTTCTGACTATGGTTTACCTCACTCACTTTGGTTTTTTTCTCTGCCACCCAGGACTGTGGCCACACCCCAACAGTGACCTTACTAAAAGCCTGCTGCACAGGTGGTAAGTCATGTCCATATATCTTGATTCCTTCATTCATTGGCATTTTTGCTTGAAAGGATGTAAGAATAAGAAATCCTGGAGTAGAAAAAGATTGGTACTCACTTAGAACCTATCTGTGCTTTCATCACCCAGAGGGAGAGCCACAGGTTAAAGACCAACAGCCTTTCACAGGTCACATGGTTAATGTGAGTCTTGTCAAAATAAGATGCAGGTTCTATCATCAGACAGTACACAACTGACTAGGAAAGAAGGTGTGGCTGAAAAAAGGAAATATGTATGTATTTATCCTTGTGTGTATGTGTCTGTGCTTTTTTTTTACTTTTAAGTTAAAGCAGACTTGAGCATATACAAAAGCCCATGGTACACAGGCAAAACAACAAACAGGAGATGAATTAAGAGCCAATCTTAATTAACAGCAAACAAAGTTGCCAATACCACTGGCTTTGAGGTATGGCAGGAAGCAGTTGAGAGTTCTTCCCTGTGAAATAAAAGTTAAGGATGTCTGCTGGGACCGTGGGGAGGAACAGAGGGGAAGGCTAGAAGAGAACACACAGCTGTTGGGGAGAACGTAGACCTTACATGGAGACGGGGCAGCCTGCTGCAGCTCTGAGGACTAGCTAGAAAAAGGAGGAGATCGTGTAGAGAGCTAGCCTTCTGGAGGCTGGAGGTATGTTAGGAGGAAAAGGATGTAAGGTCTAGGAAGCAGAGGGAATGAGGATGCTGGCAAGACCAACACACAAATGACAACACTGGTCTCTAAGAGGCAGAACATAATGGCGGAGGCTGATGGTGCTTAAAAAGCCGGAGAACTCTATGAAGTTCCAGGTGATGCTAAACTCTACAAAGCTGCCATGGGCAGCGGGAGAAGTCATTCTTCCAGGGAGAATAAGAGCCCTCTTGGAGGAGTCACATGAAAAGGAAAATTATGAGACAAGTGTCAACGTTATCAATGAACAGGGATGCTAACCCAGAGCTGACAGTGCTAAGAAAGAAGAGTAACTGATGGCACAAGTCAAGAAAGGAAGGTTTTAAAATGACTGTGAGAATGATGTGTGGGACAAGTACTAAGAAGAATGGCAGTTCCACGTCCTACACCAGAGACACAAGAAACATGAAGGAAAGCAGCATCCACTTGAAATACAAGAAAGCTGGGTAGCACACGCCTGCAACCTCAGCCAATCAGAAGGTAGCAGCAGGAAGGTCACAGTTTGAGGCCAGCCCAGGCAAAAAGGTAGCAAAAAATGAAACCAAAAGGGCTGGGAGCGTGGCTTAAGCAGGGCAGCACTTGACATGTGTGAGGCTCTGCGATCAATCCCCAGTACCTCTCAAAAAAAGTACGAGGAAAGCAGTGTCATCAGAAGACAGGCAGCAGGAGAGAAACTCAATGAAAAGGATGTAGGGGTGTTTGTTTGCCTGGGATGTCTTCACAGCAAGCTTTGGTAAGGAAGGGAATTAAGGGAATTGGGGAGTGTTGAGGCAGGGCACTGCAATCACAAGGAGGCATGGGGAAGAGACAGGAGAGGTCAGATGGCATGGCTTGTCTTGGGAAGTGACCAAGGACAACAGGGATGTGAAGAATGCTGGCCACAGATGTCCCTGAGTCAAGCCAGAGGCCTGTGGTGGAAAGAAGAGATGCTGCAGGAAGAATTAGTCCTGGCTTGAACAGACTGGCTTCCAACAGACTCCTGACCCAAGTGAACAGACTAGAAATGCAATTACTCAGCTCCTAGGGCTACCATGTGCTGAATGCTACTCTGTCATTGACAAGTTTCTTAACTCTTTCTCAACACCATTCTGCACCTAAGTAAAATAAGGAGACTACCATCCTTCAGCGATGCTGGAAGGACTACCCAGGGTCATGCATGTGAGACACCTCAAGCAGATTAAACTATCACATCCCTAGTTTCTTAGGCCTGGCATCCACTGAAATAAAGCATTCAATGTCTTAAGAAAAGAAAATCTGACCTCTTAGCTACACAAGGGACAATGGAACCCTTCCCTTCTAGACTCCGTCCCAAATGAGTAATAACTAGAAAAATAGGGCCATGCGCATGTGACCAGAAAGGAAGCTAGTTCCTCTGAATGAGAACAAAGACCTTCTGGTACATGCTGTCCTTGTGAGAATCTAAGTGGTAGGAGTCAGTTCCTCTGGCCTGGTCTTTGGGAAGTAAGACCAGAGAGTCACAGAGCTGAAACCAAGCTGGGTGTAAATTTTCCACCTGCCCACCACCACTAACCCAGACAGAGGTGTTATAGAGCGTTCACTTGCATTTGGACTTCATGCAGAACCATGCTATATCGTTGGCCTCTGATCTTGGAATATATCCTGGCTGCATGTGGCTGGAGAATTCCAAGTATTCTGTTAAACCAGGTCCTGAGCTAGGCTGCTATACATAAGCCCACCACAGCTCATAGTGCAGAGTGCTGTACAGTTTTCAAGTTGCCAACATTTAAAAAAGATGACCAAATATCCTGAAGAAGCAACTCCCAAGGGGCTTCCATCGGGCAGAGCTAATGGTTCTGCCTCACCTCGTTGGAGGTGTTCTGTCAACAGAATTCATTGTCTCATCCACACCTACCCACCCAGACTGCCTCACTTACCAAAATGTGCTAGAAGAGCATGTCAAGAACTAACAAAATCATATTTAATAATTGTATTTGACTGGTGTTGAATAAAAAAACTACTGGGAGGGGGATTAAGTTAGATATTCATACTGAACCTACCAAAAAAACACAAACTTACTTAAAATATTTAAAAAGATGAATTAGAATAAAAACTTTAAGTTGGGAAGTGACAATATTTGCTCACAGATATAAAAACGACTGCAGTAGGAACAAAGCAATGTGCTTTTGAGAATACTCCAAGGTCAGTCCGTGACCTTTGAATGATTTAACCCTCTGCATGCACTTCTCCTCTAGAGCGGGATAAGGACCAAGGCATCAATCCTCTTGGATCTTTTTCTGGACTTCATACTGGTGGGAACATTTTCCAACTCTTGAAATGACCAGAAAAGTTAATGGTGAATGGTATCCTTGCAGGAGGGACACAGAGAGATGAATAAGAAACAGAAAAAACATCTTCCACTATAGGGTCCCTACACATATACCAAGTTTTGATCACAGGTAAATGTGAGCAATTCCATTTTCCAAAGGAAGAAATGGGTTACTGGAAAACACCAGAGTTACCACCTTTAAGGTTTTCAACATGTTTCTATAATGTGCATAATTGTAGCATATCTGCTTACACACAACCTTGTGGTTTTTTAGATTTTTTTTTTTTTTGTGGTGGTACTCGGGTTTGAACTCAGGGCCTCATGCTTGCTAGGCAGGCACTCTACCACTTGAGCCAGTCCACCAGCCCGAGACCTTGTATTTCAATCCAAGTAAAGATTAGAAAAAAATTTTGAAGGTGGCCTAAGAGAACCAGAGAAAGGACTTAATTAACATTTGGTACACAGATTCTCAACTAAGAAGGCATTCTGAAAAGGGTGAGAAGGAGGGGAAGGCATTGTGAATAAAAGTCACCTGTGGAGTTCCAACCTCCAGGATTCCTCCCCAGCCCACCCAGCTGCTCCTTCAGACTGTCCCACCTTCATGGCAGGAAACACCCGTTCTAGAAACTTGATTCCAATCAACAGATAAAATCACACTCCATCTCTACAGTGTTCTGAGAGCTCACCCCAGTCAACATTCCCAACTTCTGTCCTCATGCTGCAGATCTGGACAAAAGACCCCGCACTGTTAAGTGTGGTGACTGCAGTCAGACATGCTCACAAACATTTCTGATACCTTGTAACTCTACTCCAACCATCACTGTCAGGACTAGGAGGGCACCAGCCAAACTAAGGGCAGCCAATCCATAAATCAACCTCTGAAATAGGCCAGCATAGAGAGAAAAGATGGGCATGTCCTGCTCTTGAATCCATGTGCAAAAGAAATGGGTAAAGGAACAGACAGGAGTGGGATAAGGACCCCAGGCCAGATGAGTGTATGAAGATGGGGATTCAACAAGTAGGCCAAAGATACAAGATAAAGAAATACAGGACAACAGCAGAGGTAAAAACAAACATCCAAGGACAATAGTGGAGTTGCATAAATTTTTACTGATGTACTCCCTAGGGCCATCTTAGATCCAGAATCAAACTCTGGCTCCAATTTCTCTAAGACATCACTACAGTAAGACTCATTTTTTGATGTTCATGGATATTTTTTGTAACATAATTTTATACATATTCTTTCAATAAGCAATGCCACCCCAACCCAAACTAGCTTAAGTCTCTATTCTATGAAATCTAAGAAGCATATCTAAAACAATCTGATTTGACAAATTAGAGGTCAGGTCATTCAATTCCCAGGGTCCTGTAACCATTCTACAATACTATACAAGATAAAAGTGAGCTGGAATAGCTGAATTTTATGGTACATACGCCAAATCTGAACAAAATGGTTTAAAAGGGGGGTGAGGATGACTACAAAGTTTGAGGACAGCCACTAAAACTGGTCTTCAAGTAAGATAAAACACACAAGTTTCATGACATGTATAAAATAATGAAGTAACATAAAGATCACTCCATACTGTGGATCACTAAATAGAATATACCTCTTAAAATATGAGATACTCTTTTTTGATGGAGCAATTCTTTAAATACTAAACACTGGACTTTGTGAGGGCTTCAAGACCAATTTGGTACAAAAATATTTTTGAAGACTGATGCCACAAAGAATAGCCACAACTCCCTCACTGGCGTGCCAGAGGACACTGAGAAGGATGAGCCACAGGTCAATCCACTAGGAAAAAAACAAAGCTTTATTTTCTTCAAGTTATAAAAATATATGTATTGTTAAAGTCTTCTAACAGTACAAGAATAAGTATCGTGAAAAGTACAAATTCCAGCACGATCTGGTCCCTGGAGGTAACTGCTGTTAAGGTCGCACATGTTCCTTCCAGACACCTTCATCTACATGCATGTTTTTGTTACCCAAGCACCTTCACATCTCACAAAGGCATTCTGCAACTTTCTTTGTCTCTTAATCTGTCATTCTTTCTGTATAACCGCATGTAGATTAGCACTGGTTTAACCGCTGTGTAATACATCACAGTTTACGTAACCTTTCCCCCACTGACATTTACGTTGTTGGCGTGGTTTTCACTAGTACAAACATTTTGGCACTTGTTGGTGAACATACATCCCACACACTTGTTTGACTCTTTCTGTCAGAAATTCCTAGAAGTGTTCCTATTAAAGTAACATCTTCACTGGGGATAGGAAGCTAGTACCGACCAAGGCACAGTTAAGGAAATGAGACTGAATGTAATGTGCAGACCATGCAGCAGAGTGAGGGTCCAGCCAGGAAATGCACTAGGGTGATGAAGGAACCCACACATCTTCTGGTGGACAGGGGCAGATGTGACCTGCCAGTTCTGCCCTCCAGACAGTCACAGGTCCCCTTCTGCTTCCAAGCCTGGACAGCCTAACTGACAACAGGTCATGTGGAGAAGCCAGAATGAAGCACGTGGAATATAATGCAAAAACACTAGGCATGCAGCAAATTCAGAAGACAAGGGTACTAAAGGTGACTCTACTTCTCTTTCAGCAGAGGTGACCTACCTCTGGCATAGTGCAGTGAGATGGCACTGGATTTCATGGTGATCCCTCGGACTTGTTCGTCCTCTCTACTGTCCAAGTACCTCAGCTGGAAACACACAACGTTCACATTCCTAAGCGTAATGCTGAAGTGCACCAAGTTACTTTGTTTTAAGCACTTACACTGTAAACAATGGAGCTTTTTCAGTATTTTTTAAAAGGCAGAGGCTACAGAAGGAAAGTCGAGGTTCACAGGACATACACAAATGGAAAGGCTTTCCCACTAGGACCTCACAAATGTAGTCAAACACTGAGCACCTTCCCAAAGTGTTCTTACCCAAATTTCAGCCAGGAATGACTGAACAGTCAAGAGAATTCACAAAGGGAGTGCAAAGCCTATGATTCTAGCTAGTTGGAAGACTAAAATCAGGAGGATCTAGGTTTGAGGCCAGCCCAGGCAAATACTTCACAAGATCCCATGTCTAAAACAACCAGAGCAAAACGGACTAGAGGTGTGGCTCAAGTGGTAGAGTGCCTGCTTTGCAAGTGCAAAGCCCTGAGTACAAATCCTAGTCCAACAAAAAAAAAAGAAAGAAAAGAAAATTCACAAAGGGTAGAATTAGGAGGAATTCCTTCCAGCATCACACACACAGACATAGCTGCTCTTTCCTAGTCAGAGCTGTCTGACAAGGTCTGAGCAGACTGAAACAGCCCTCTAGAGGCACAAGGGCCTTTACCTTTCCCCAAAGTAACAAATTCTAAGCAATTTCTTTTTTGAAAAGAATGGGCTAGTAAAGAACATGTATAAGATCCTCACTGTCCAGTAGTGCTCCAACACTGACAGCAGCTCTGTTAACCAAGCCCCCAGCTCCTTGACCTGAGCACCCACCACCATCTTCCTTCCACCCCAGATTAAGTATTGCCCTGCCTTTTCCTCTCCCTACACTGCAAAATTCTTGAAAAATTCTGAACTTTACCTTTACGTTTACTAATTTCTTTCAATCAAAAACCCGAGAAGCTAGGCGTGGAGGCACGCACCTATAATCCCAGCACTTCAGAGGCAGAGGCAGGAACATCATGAGTTCAAGGCCAATCCTGGCTACATATCCAGACCCTATCTCAAAATCACAAGGAAAAAAGAAAGCCTTGTCACAGAATTGCCACATTCATTCATCCCACATTAATTCCCTAATTTTCAAAAAGGCCTCCACTCCCACTGCTCCTCGATGCTCCTTTTCAACCTGTAATTTTCCTGATTCCAGTGCATTACACAGATAAGCACCTTCGTTTCTATGTGTTTTTTCACAGATGTTTCACACCTGTGAAATATGCATTTCCCTCCTATCTCTCCTGAGTTCCCTGCTGGCTTCCCTGCACCTGCGCCCCTCTCAGACAACCTTCCTTCAAAGTCCTGTCCCTTGTTACTCTTCTGTGCCTGTTGTTTTAGAACACTCAAGCTGGCACAAACAGGTATAAGAACAGCAATGCAATGAATATCTTATATGTACCATCTGTTTCAGGAAATAAAGTTTCCATTACGCTTAAAAGTTCCATGTCCCTAGCTCATAGGTAACCAATGTCTTGATTATCTTGACCACTCCTCTGCTTCCTTTGTAACCTCTAAAAATCACTGAGAACTACAAGTTATGAACAGAAGCAATACCATGTATGTCACTTTTTCTTTGCTGGTACTGAGGTGTACTCATACTGAGTGCTGTAGTTACTCTCTGTCATCTTCGCTACAAGTCCATTACACCTGTTCATCCAGTCTACTGGTGATGGACATGTGTGAACTGATGCTGTGTGCTCGTGACTGAGCTGAGAAGAACACCTCTTGTACACTATCGGGAAGTGGAACTCCTACTATTACACTTGCACATGATCAGATTGGCCCACAATCCACACTGGAATATTGTTCCTGCTCCTCCGTAATCTCAATAATATTTGATACTGACAGACTTTATTTTCTAAATCAGGTAAGTGATAAACAGCATCTATTTAAATTTATATTTCTCTAACTACTAATGGGACAGAGTATCTTTTTGCAAGTATTGTCTTGGTCATTTTGCATTCCACTTCTGAGAATTTCTTGTATAAAATTTTTGTCCATCTTCCTTGTGGTATCAGAACTCAAGGCTTCACACTTGCTGGGCAGAAGATCTACCACTTGAGCCGTGCCTCCAGTCCTTTTTGCTATGGCTATTTTGGAAGTAGGGTCTGGACCGCAATCCTATTTTAGACTTCCTTCCATAGCTGGAATAGTAGGTACGTACCACCAGGCCCAGCTTTTTGCACTTGAAATGGAGGGTCTCACAAACTTCTTTTTACCCTGGATGGCCTGGAACCACAATCCACCCAATCTCAGCCTCCTGCAAAGCTTGGGATAACAGGATAATGGGGTCTCATGAACTTTTTGCCCAGGCTGGCAGTGAGCCTCAATTCTCCGAATCTCGGCTTCCCAGGTAGCTAGGATTACAAGCATATGCCACTGGCACCCTCTGTATCCATCTTACTACTCACTGTATTAGTGCTTACCTTGTTGTGGAAGGAGTCAGTCTCTGAATATCAATTCACTGTTGATTATATATGTGCTATTAATTTTTCCCCTAGAAACCAGGATTTTTTTCAATTTCTTTATGCCATCTTTGATGCAACAAGTACTTATCAATGTAACAACATACCTTGCCTGCTAGGCGGCTGGAGATTATTCCATTACTAGATATAAGACAATCAGCAAGAGTGGTTTTTCCTGTTAAAATAACATTAATTAAAATTTATATCTTTTAAAAATCTGGTATTAGCATATAATAGTTGCACCGGGTATACATTGTGACATTTGCATTTGTGACATTTGCATATGTGCATACAATGTATCTTAATTAGATTCACCCCTATATCACTCCCTCATCCCTCTTCTCCCCCTTCTTAGAACAATCTCAACAGGTTTTACTGTTCTACTTTACATCTTTTTTAAAAGAGCTGGGGTGGATAATACCTACAGATTTAACATCTCATCATAAGAATTGGTTTAGCAGAGATTCTTATTTACTGATGTGAGGCACAAAACAAAGGGACATTTAAGAGTTGTAAATCTTTGAACAGTATAGGTTCAAGGTGCTAGCACTCTATAGTGCTACAATTTTATCTCCTTTGGATCTCACCAACCTCACCTGAAAAGTTGTCAGGTAACTTTTTTAAGCAAAGAAATGTTCTTAAATTGAGGCAGACTTTACATGAGTAGAATGCACAGACATTTAACTGATGAGGCAAACCATGATGCACTCAAAATGCAGACCACCTCTGACAATTTTTACATCCTTTACTATCATCTGTCCCATAAGACGATCAAGTTTATCACAATTATGTCAGCCATCTCATATCCACAGCAGCGATCATGTCTATACATGTAAGACTCTGACAGCACACAGTGACAAAAGGACAGCACTAATTTTTGTCTCTGGAAGGTACACTGGATTAAACACCAAGAAACAAAAGAACATAATCTCCTGCCATATCCCCCACGTATGATGGTGGTTGGCACCTTCGGATCTGTTAATTCTTGTTTAGCAAGAGACCATCTCCTACTGTCTGCAATGCAGCCAGTCGAGGGCATCAGCTACACTGTATCTACTAATACAACCTCGAATCCAAGCCAAGCCTAAACCTAGAATCCACTCCATTAGGAGTTTTTTTTTAATACTAAAGTATACATTGACAGTTACCTGCACTAAATACACTACCACTGAAGTCCACAGGATTTGTAGTTGTAGGACAAGTGACCTTGTTAAAAATGCCCAGGACACGAATCCCACTGCTTGGTAGGCTCAACAAAAGGAGGTTTGTTTCCTTCAAGCAAGTCCTTCCTGCACTCTAGGAACTTCGTCAAACCATAGAGTCTATGCAACTCTTCAAACCAGAGATATAAAGATATTCAACACCTGTCATGTTTGCCATGTGATTATCGTGCGTTACCATCTATCCCAGTAACACAGGACTCATTCAAGTATCGAGAGCATATGATACCCTAGGAGTAAGTGCCAAGAAAGTAGGGACTTTGCTGTATTCCCAGCCCAATGTCTAGGGCCAGCACAAAGCTTGGATATTTACTTCATAACAACTCTACTGAATCAATGGAATGAACCATAGGTTCCTAGGATAGGACCATTTTAAAGAATAAATTTGCTATTCACATACACTGTTAACTTTCCACAGGATTTAATTCACAAAACAAAATAATACTTTTATCAGAATTTATGTCCTTGAAATGTATGCAGTATAATCATAAAAACCCAGAGAACAGGGTTAGTCACTGGCCTGTCAATAAAACCCATTCTCAGTTGGCTTCACCTAAAATGATCCATAATCTCTTTCCATTTCCAAACTCATTTTGGGTCAGTTTTACACCGAGGGCACCAGCACATCGCCCCTCCCTCTCGATCCTCCCAAGCACTTCAGCCATCTCATCTAAGCTACTCTTCGATCACATCATCCCTGCCTTACTTTTTCCCCTCAGGGCTCTGTGCAGCATAATAATAAAAACAGTAGTGAGCATTTTCACATGAAGGGATTCTCTGTCACATCTACCCTCATATCCTATCAGGTAGGTACGGTTCTCATTCTATTTTACACATGCTGTACACGGATGCTAAAAACGCAAAGGAACTGGAAAATGAGTTTTGAACTCAGATGTCTAACCGCAGAGGGACAGCACAACCCTTAATGCCTAGTGAGTAGGAAAAGCTCTACCAGAAGGGACCCAGACCCCTCTTCACTTACCTACTACTCCCCCACCTTCAGAAACTGGGCTCCCCCACCTTCAAGAACTGGGTTCCCTCCCTCCTCCACCTCTGTCTACTACTCCCCCACCTTCAGGACCATAACTAGGTTCTACTTCACATACCTACTGCAATGGCTGTGCTGTGATTAGCAGAAGGGGGCTGAAGCCAGGAGCAGGCCTAGCACAAGCAATGTCTAGATAGATCACACACTGTGCACTAGCTGTCCTTGCTCTTCGGCCACATGGACTTCCTTCTTCTCTTGATATAAGGTGTCCCCATCTGTCATCCTGAGCCCCTCTTCAAGGGTCATCTTTATTACCCCATGAAGCTTTCTTAACCCACCCCTGCTTCCTGATCCTCCAGTTCTTCCCACCCTTACAACGTACATTCGTTTTTGTCTGTCTCATATTGCCCTAGTCACCCCTAACTCTCCTCTACAGCTGTGCAGGTGCGCTCCTCATAAACGCCTACCTCCTGATGCACCTGAAGAAATACCTCAACTTGGCAAAGCTCAACAATGACTGGCTGATGAATTAATCACATACCAGAGGCTCTGAGGACACTACACAGAGAGTGCCGCTTACATGCAAAGCCATTTCACAAATTCTCTGTATTTTAACAAAACTTCAAGCTCTGCTTTAAAAACAATGAAATACTACCTTAGAAGCATGCTAGGCTCTGGTTTACCTACGTCCACTTCAAACGTTTTACAGCGTGCTTCTCTGACATCCAAAAAAACTTTTAAAGGAAGTGAAGACTCGCTTCGTAGCAAGCATCACTCTGAAACGGCTTCGCTCCTTTAAAACATGTAGAGACACGCCTGCCTGCTGCTAATGAAATCAAGCCATTTAAAGACGCGCACCATGGTCCACGTGAGCCAGAACGCAGATATTCCTGATGTTCGCAGTGTTTTTCTGCAGTTGAATCACCTTGTCCACACTGTTGAGCACCATGGTTCTTCACTTCCTGTAACTAAAAATTAAGTGTCTTACAAGGGGCACCAGGGCTCAAGCCCGCGGCGAAAGCAAAGCAGATGCTGGGGGCAGCTGTGACTTGTCCCAACCGGAAGGGATGTAGCAAACCCCGGGCCAGTGCGAGGCGTCGCCCTTGGGGACGCACAGCTGAGATGAATCACGCAGCTGTGGGGCCGGGCGCAGAGGCACCTGCCGATGGGCGAGAGGCGGGGCAACCAGAGGCCGGGTCGTGTGCAGAGGGGAGGATGACACCCCCCACCCTGCACGCCCCCACACGAGGTCAACACCTGGAGCCCCAAAAAGTTGTGGGTCACGCGCTTCCGAGCCACGCAAGTGCACTGCCCATCTTTCATTCCTTCCCAAGTGAAAGGCGGCATCCTAGCTGCACATTTTCACTTCCGCGGGGCCCTCGATTCGTTCTCTTTGGGGGATCCCGGGATCGGGCGGCCGCGGGGACCGCCCGAGGACTGGAGGAGGAGGCCCCGGGTCCGAACTCACCCGCTGGGGCCCTCGAGCAGCCCTGCTCCAGTACTACGCCCCACGACACCTCACGCGCCAGCGCCGGCCAGAGCTCTGCAGACCCGGAACGCCGGAGCGCGCACGGGGGCGGAGACACGCCGACGCACGACCTTTGACCGCGCGTGCGTCTGACGTCACCGGAAGCCGGCTCCGCGTCCGTCTCCTAGGATTCCGCGGTTGCCTAGACGACGGGCAGGCGCTGAAGCCGGGCGACTCAGCTCAGAGCTGCCAGCATGAGGAGCCGGTGTCTGTGTCAGATTTGTACCTGCGGGTAAGGAGCCGGGGCGGGGCGACTGGGGGACCCCGCACTGTGGCTCCGGGGCGAAGGGCAAGGGCGCAGCGATGCCTCTTTCCTGGGCCCTGGACAAAACGTGCCCTGTAGTCCCCAGACTCCCTGTCTGGGCACCTGGGCCAGGTAAGTATCGTGTGCAGAGCAGCGGTGGGCTGAGGCTGGCCGTGTGCAATCTGATCCTTTGGAGAGTGCGTGCCCCGCAACAAAGTAACTGATGTTAATTTCTAAAGAACCGAGTGCAACTGAAAACTGCCGAACAGTGCGAGGTACGGGAAAGGGTAAGGAAGAGCAGAAGAGGGGGTTAGAGTCCTTTAGTACAATATATTCACAGGTAAGATACCGGGCAAAACCCCACCGCACAGTGACGGACAGGGAGGCAGGTGGTGTTGAGAGGAGGCTGGAGAAAGAGGGTGAATGTTTGGCTGAGCGCTTGCTGTGCACTGTGAATATGCAACACCGAAACCTGACCTAAATCACTTTAATAAGGGGGGAGGACCCAGCCGGGGTGCGATGTGTGTACATGGAAATACCACAGCGAAACCCCGCACAACCACTATACACTAATAAAAAAGTTAAGAAAAAAAAAAAAAAAGGCCAGTGTGCAAGGCCGCCAGCCTACAAGCCTTGTGCTGCTGTCTTTGCCCCAGCAGACCCGCTTCCCTGGGGACCAGGCACCTCAGGCCCAGCACCTCCCCACCTGGGGACACTCCCCGCCTGTGGACAGGCCTCTCCTCCCCAGCTTCAGGGACCCAGGGCGAAGCCACCATTGGCTCAGTAAACAGAACATGCCAAGCACTTCTTCCATGTCTGCAGCCCTCTTCAAAGGATGGAAAGCAGTTTCTCTGCCACGTCCATAAAAAATATTGTGATTAGATGTAGATTAAAAGGTGACATTTGAGGTGTGAATCTGAAAACTCTAATGTAAAAAAATTTTTAAGTTTTTCTTATCTATCTATCTATATAAAACCTAGGTTCCTTCCCCAGCCAGCCATCAGGATTTCATGCTTCATTATGTTGGGGACTTCCCTTTTCTTTCTTTCTTTCTTTCTTTTTTTCTTTTGTGGCACTGGGGTTTGAACTCAGGACCTCATGCTTTGCGCTTGCTAGGCAGGTGCTGTACCACTTGACCCACATTTTCAGCCCAGCTCCCTCTCTTCAAGCAGTATTATGACCCAAACAGATGAGGCATCGCCCTCCCAGCTTCCAGCAGTGGTGAGGGGTTCCACGCAGATGTCCCTTGCTGAGCTCACGTAGGGCCTGCCAGAGCAGTGTCTCTGCTGCTTTCATTCTTACACTTGAAGGATAAGAATCTTTGACAAAGCCAGGGGCTACTGTGGCAGGGCTCCTGCTCAACCAACCTTTTCGTGACTGGGCCACCTCATGGAATGCTATCCAGAATGGGGCAAGTTCTTTACTCTTAGGTCCCCTTCCCTGTCATCTTTTTCTTCCTTTTGGCAATACTGGGGATTGAATCCAGGGCCTTGCACTTTGCTGAGCAAGTGCTCTTATCACTGGAGCCTCATCCCCAGTCCTTTTGCTTTTTTTAGTTTTTTTGGATAGGGTCTCACACTTTGGGCCAGGGCTACCCTTAGACTGTAATCCTCCTAACTGCCTCCCAAGCAGCTGGGATTATAGACCTGCACCCCATACCCAGCTGTCCCTTCGTCTTTTACCTTCCCTTGTTAGGAGTTAGGAAGGAAGATCTTTACAGCTTCCTTCTTTTTTGGTTCAAGACCATCTTTTCCCTCTTATGACCCAAAAAGATGACTGCCCTTCGTCTCCCCTTGGGACACCTGATTTCATCTCTTCCATGAACCTTAAAAAAATGAAAATTTAGCAAGTGTTACACATACAGCATCCAGCAAAACTGAAAAGCAGAAATAAAAATACAGTTTTCTTCTAAGGACTGGAAATTTGGGGATAGGAAACTTTCACTTTGTTTGATTTGTTACAATGTGAATGTATTATCTTCATTAAAAAAAAAACTAAAAATAATGACAAATTCCAGAGCTATGGCCTGGTTCTGTAAGTCAGTGCAGCTCATCAGAACCTCTGTGCACAAATGACCTGTGTGCGCTGCTTTTATCAGAGTTTCGCACTGCGTGTGGCACGAAGTCACCTCAACGCTTTCCCACAGCCGTGTCCTCAGCATTGGCTCCTGGCTTCCTTGCCTCTCCTGACCTGGGACCCCAGCAATCCACCCCTCCCTGTGCTGCGGTGCTGCACCCTCCCAGCAAAGATACCCTCTCCTCCTCTTCCTGGGTTCATTGGGCGCAGGTGGCCCAGTTGGCTCTGTTCACCTGTAGAGCACATGCATGTCCTTCCTTCAGGTCCCCCTTCACCTAGGCTTGTGTTGTCAACCCTTTCCTCACGATTTGAGGTCCCACATAATACCAGATTTAAGAAACTCACCTTTCAGTTCAGAATGGTGTGATATTACTTGTTTATTTGTTTGGATTTTGTTTTTTAAGCATTTTCTCTCTTTTTTCTCAAAATCTATAATGTAGTGAAAATCTTTAATAATCCTTTTTACCACAGATAACAAATAGTCTTTGACTTGCACCTATGCCTAGCTTCTTTGACTTGTAACGAAAAAGAGAGGGGTGTGCTGTACAACTGTTCTGTAAGCTACTTTTTAGACTGTTTACAAACTTAAACATGCATAGTAAAGATCAGCGTCATTCCCTTTAACAGCTGCACGTTGTTGGCTTCTGTGACGTTCAGTCACGCATCACTTAAGGGCAAAGATGATTCTAAGAAAGGCATTGCTATGAACACCACAGTGGACTTGCACAAATGGAGATGGCTACGGTGTCACTAGGTGACATAATCTTAAGGGACCATCAACACACAGGTGGCTTTTTGTTGACCAGAGTCTCATTATGCAGTACTTGACTGAGTTGGTCAGGGTTCTTCATTATGGGCAATATCATCTGCTCTGGTTCATTTAGGCAAAAACTAAATATATATATATATATATATATATATATATTATTTCAAAATAAGCTTCCAGGAAAGTGCCTAAAAAATCTCACATGGAACTGGGCTGCCAAGCAAACTGCAACCTCTGTCACAGTCAGAAAATAGCCCAGCTGAGGTGGAGGCCCAAGAGCCACCAATGTCTGCCAGGGTCAGGAACTTGCCTTGCAAACCAGGAGGCTGCCCACAACTGCTGGCTCCAAACTGCCTTTGCCCCTACTGCAGTCTGTGCAGACCGATGATGAGGGCCCTGCCTCTCTCCTTCTGCAGCTCTGTTATGTATCTGTTATATCTGTTACCTGTAAGTACACGTAATCGCTGAAACCTCAATTATATATGGAACCTGTCTTTAAGGGACCTAGGAAATTCACTTGTTAGCTTTTCAGCTTCTGTGGTGTAACTAGAAACTAAATTTTGAGAGCAAAGCCAGCTTCTAGCCGGTACCAGTGGACCACGCCTGTAATCCTAGCTACTTGGGAGGCAGAGATCAGTAGGATCGAGTTTTGGAGCCAGGCTGGGCAACTACTTCTTGAGACCCTATCTGAAAAATACCCACCACAAAAATAATAAATAAAAAGGCTGACGGAGTGGCTCAAGCAGCAACTGCCTAGCAAGCATGAGGCCCTGAGTTCAAACCCCAATGCTGACAAAGAAAATAAGCCAGTTTCCAGCACATAAGGATATAAACACCATTGTGGACAGAACAGTGTTTCTTTCCTAGGCAAGCTGCATTAGAATGCTTAGAAAGTCTGAGTTCACTGGAATTCTGATTAAAATGCAGTAACCACACAAAATGTTTTTTAAGGCAACATAATCTTTCAGTTTATTTGTTTGCACAGGCGACATCATTGTCCACATGGAACCACAAGGATTTATGAGAATGCTGGCATGTCTTGCCCTACAACTGAATATTTGGAAAAATATCCTCTGTATGGCAAAGTTCTTCCACCTCAGAGTCTTAAACCCAAGCAAGAATTTCGAGCATGCCGTGGGAAAATGGAAGGAATAACTACATTTAAGTAAATATTGAACACCTGTCTTCCTTACTGACCCTTCTCCCAACTCTTCTGGTCCTAATAAGGTTTCCCTTCCATTTAAATCTAGTAACTTAGTTGACTTAAGTCAAACCAATCCAAGAAGCAAGGAACTAGTTAAGTCACAATTTGAGGAAAACAGGAAGAGAATTAGGTTTAACAAGAAGAAAAAGGGAAATAAAAGGTTCTGTTGATATTTTTGAGCCTCCTAAAGTATCTCTTATTTATGTATTTCCACTGTTACCACCACTGAGAGGAAGGCAGAGAGAGTAGCCCTGCGTGGGCTCCGGTTTTTTGGCATCTCTGATCTGTTTTCAGAACTTTGGCCTGCCAAGGTGATCTTTTTAGGATGCAAACCTAATCTTATCAAGTCTCTGTTTTAAAATACTCTTAACTTTCCCATGGTTTAACGTGACCCAGATTCTCACCACAGTTCCTGCGTGGACACTCCCTACTTGCTTCTGTGGTCCACTTTGCATGGCCTTTTCACTCTCATGTGCCCAAGCCCTAGGCCATGTCACGTGTCCTTTAAAGGGTCAGATCTCCCTGTCTCACGGCCTTTGAAGACACCATTTTCCATGCCTATAATCTCCTTCCCTCTTCCCCTAGTTAAACCCACACGATCTGTGATCTCAACTCACCCATCCCTTGGAAAAGTCTTCTTTGACACCTCACGGGTGTTTAGGTGAGGCCCGTTCCCTCATGGGAGTTCCCGTTCCTTGTCATTGCATTACTTCAGGGTTCCATGACAGCTGGGACTGTGCTTAGTGCC